GCTCCACTACACGAAGTCTCTCCACCGTCAAATTTGGACGAGCACCGCCTTTGATTTATGTCCCCATGCCAAACGGGCGGTGCCATGATTTCAAATGAGTTGGCGGTTCCCCTTCCTGATTATCGCGCCTTTGATGAAGATAAGTCGGATATAATGAAGATCTAGTCAAAATTGTTATGTTAGATATACGGCAGGATGACAGGGTGAAGTCTCAACCCATAAGAATAGCTAACTAATAGACTTGATATGGTAGAAATGTAGAAGGACTAATGCAAAAGTCTTGAAGGATTGTTGATGCGAAAATGAGTAAACGTAGAGTTGTGAAACTGAGCCACACTACAACCCGGAAGACAGGGGTTGAACGAATATGAAACCACTTCAAGACTTCACTTTTTGCTAGCAGAAAAACATGCATACGGCCTTAAAAGTGCAAGATCAGACGCAGTGGGATCTGAAGTTCACCACAGGCCCCCACTCTCCCAAGCGGTTACGTGCGTATATATGGGCATGAAAGCAACTTTAGAATGACTGATGTGCTAAACCCAAAACACAAAATTACTGGTGGGTGTTTGCAACACGACACAACATGAAACTCATTGCGCATACCTTGTCGTACCACTGGAGCGCATTTCGCCCAGCCTGCCTGGAAAATCAGCAACATCATCGTAATCTCTATTGTTGAGCTCACTAGAATCCATTCTCGTATTACTGAAAATGTTCAGAATTTTTTCGGAAACAGGTCAGCATGATGGCTACCTTGAAAAGTTGTGTAGATTACCGGAATCTGAGTCTTGCGGATCTTCGGGAGGTCGACCGAAGTAGCGACGTTTTGCTTCCTGGAGCAAATTTCTTCAACAAACATAGACACACGCGCACTCATTACCAGTCGAACAAAGTCAGCGGTACACAGAAGCAAGATACACTGCTCTCTTTTCACTGACTGAACTCTAACAGATCACTGTTGATTCCCTTGTGTAGGAGAAGAACTTTAGGGACTAAGACGTTCTCACTCATCAATATGCGCGATCGATCACAAGATTCACGCGCATAGGTGGCGATAGTTCAAAAAAGCTAACTCTTCACATTGGAGCATGCATCCAAGTGAGCCCCTTCACCTGGGACGAAGCAGAAAAAACCGAATGCATGGAAGGGAGTGGGTACGGTAAACAGATATACATTCAGGGCAACGAACAATGCAGGAGACGAAATTCCAGCGAGAAAACACATGGTCAAGCAACAGGCAATTTGCTCAAAATTGTCCCAGTAAGGTGTGGCGAGATGCTAGAGCTTTGTTCTAGATGAAATTATGTAGCTGTTGAGAACTCCTCAGGACAGACTTCTTTAAAGATTAGAAAGACCTCCTTAACAATTTACAGAGGATAAGTTTTGAGAGCAATGCAGAAAAAACAAAGTGTTCCAGGTTCAATCAAGCAACACCCGTTCATTCTAATGTAAGCTGATCCAAGCAGTTCTTTTGCGATGGTGATCTAACCCATCATCCTACAGTGAAAGATTTAATATATAGCTTGCGGTGTTGCGAACATGTTCGGGTCGATTTTGACTCGACTTTTGCAAATTTTGAGTTGCAGGGGTGGAGGTTGGCCCAAGGGGTAAATAAGCATGCTGATACAAAATAATGATGAGGACAAGGAGCTGGCATATAAAAGTGGGACAGGAACAGGCGACGTTGTATAGAAGTGAGCAAAGACACCTTTAGTGTATTGACAGAAATTGAGCGAAGCCGTCCAACTCTAATTAATATAACCAATAAGCGCACGGGAGTAATCTGCTCTCAGTTTTCTTTTTCCACCTGCTACTTTGAAGTTAAGCGAAGTTTTATGAAAGTAGAAGCAACAGTGTCTGCGCTCCTTAAAAAAACATGAGGCTCTAACTGCACCAATCACATAAGTGTCGACAAATAAGATGGATTACCTTCAATACATCAATTATGAGGGTTGCAAACTCTCGAACATCGTACTTGGCCAGTTTTTGTCGCAGCTGATTCCGTGTGGCTGAGAAGGCAGGATTCAACTAAATTATGAGATCCATCACAGGAAAATTAACATGATTTGATGGTTTGCATAATACGCAGTATAGAACGCTGAGTTAATCGCCGACCTTGAGTTAGGCATAAGTTAGTCGAGGGGATACACATTACATGGTGAAATAAAAACGTACCGGTAAGAAAACGGCCACGCACTGTTCGGTGCCTGTTGTTATTTTCCCTTGATTCAACGCAATCCATGCTGCTTGAGTTTCTCGACGGTCAACCTGAATTGCATCAGACCGA